GGGGTGGGTGAGTAGGGGACCCTGTCGGGTGGGTGTGTAGGGGACATCTGCCTCCCACCAGCATCTTCCCAGGGGTCTGGCATCCAGCAGGGTCCAGGCAGGAAGAAGCCGGGAACAGCAAGGGGACACAGAGCAGCCTCACCGCATGAAAATTTCAGCAATCCGGAACCCGATCCCAGAGCCGCCACCTGTGATGAAGGCCACTTTGTCCCTGAGAAAATTAAAAAGGAGGCTCTTTTAAGATCGAGACCATCCTGGTCAACTTGGTGAAACCCCGTCTCTACTAAAAATACAAAAAATTAGCTGGGCATGATGGCTCGTGCCTGTAATCCCAGCTACTCAGGAGGCTGAGGCAGGAGAATTGCCTGAACCCAGGAGGCGGAGGTTGTGGTGAGCCGAGATCGTGCCATTGCACTCCAGCCTGGGTAACAAGAGCGAAACTCCGTCTCAAAAAAAAAAAAAAAAAAAAAGGAGGCTCTTTTAAAAGAGCCCTGTTAAAATACACCCCACATATTGCCATACGGCAATGATTTAAAATGAAAATTCATAGAATTACGGTATTTTATTTGAGACTCCCAGGCCAGAGTGCAGTGGCACCACCACAGCTCACTGCCACCTCGACCTTTCAGGGTAAAAGGATCCTCCTGCTTCACCCTCCCCAGTAGCTGAGACTACAGGTGCATGCCACCGTGCCCAGCTTATTTTTTTTCTGCTTTTTCTAGAGAGGGGTATTGCTTTGTTGCCGAGGCTCGTATTGAACTTGCGCTGACACACACTTGCAAAGTGCAGTGAGGGAAAGTGTATTTTGGTGTCTTTTGACAGAAATTGAGTGAAGAAGATAAAACAAAAAATTAACCCTGGGTTAAATAAGATAGAAGTTATAGTTTCCTCCCTCCTTAGCACTGCATGGCACAAATATCAAAGATGATTCCTGAGATTCAGTGAGCTAGGTGAGGATAATATGGCTTTTTTATTCATTAGAGATTGTCTTGTATGTATCAAATATGTACTGATTGGTATCATAGCCACAAATTGTACCAGATGGATGAGCAATCTTTTTTTTTTTTTTTTTTTTGAGAGGGAGTTTAGCTCCTGTTGCCCAGGCTGGAGTGCACTGGCACAATCTCAGCTAACCGCAACCTCCGTCTCCCACGTTCAAGCAATTCTCCTGTCTCAGCTTCCCAAGTAGCTGCGATTAAAGGTATGCACCACCACACCCCGCTAATTTTGTATTTTTAGTAGGGACAGGGTTTCTCTATGTTGGTCAGGCTAGTCTACAACTCCAGACCTCAGGTGATCTGCCTGCCTCGGCCTCCCAAATTGCTCGGATTACAGGCGTGAGCCACTGAACCTGGCCTGCAATTCTCCTACTTTTGCAGAGTTCCAAGTTGCTTTTTTTTTTTTTTTTTTGAGACGGAGTTTTGTTCTTATTGCCCAGGCGGGAGTGCAATGGTGTGATCTCGGCTCACCGACACCTCTGCCTCCTGGGTTCAAGTGATTCTTCTACCTCAGCCTCCCAAGTAGCTGAGATTGCAGGTGTACACCACCACACCCGGCTAATTTTGTATTTATACTAGAGACGGGGTTTCACCATGTTGCTCAGGCTGGTCTGGAACTCCTGACCTCGGGTGATCCGCCCAACTTGGCCTCCCAAAGTGCTGGGATTACAAGCATGAGCCACTGTGCCCAGCCTTCCTATTCTTAATTATTAAAGATTAATTTTGGTACAGCTGTGGTACCAATTAAAAAAAAAAGAAAAAGGGGTTTCCCTCTTTCAGCTTTGGAGTCCCCCTCCCTTTGTCTCTGTACAGGAGAGCTGCTTTCTTTCTTCTCCCTTCTTTTTTGCCTATTAAACTCCCTGTTTCTTAAAACTGAAAAAAAGAAAAAACAGATCCACCTGTTAGCCAAGTGAAAGCAGGTGGCCAGGGAGGACTCTGACCTTCACAGGGCCTCCCTTGTGAACACCAAGGCGTTTGCAGGAAAATCAATAGTTGCTGGGCAAAATTCAGCATTCCTGGGCCTTCCTGGGTCTTATAGAAAAACGATTTCAACCTAAAATTTTCTTTTTTTTTTTTTTTGAGACGGAGTTTCGCTCTTGTTACCCAGGCTGGAGTGCAATGGCACGATCTCGGCTCACCACAACCTCCGCCTCCTGGGTTCAGGCAATTCTCCTGCCTCAGCCTCCTAAGTAGCTGGGATTACAGGCACACACCACCATGCCCAGCTAATTTTTTGTATTTTTAGTAGAGACGGGGTTTCACCGTGTTGACCAGGATGGTCTCGATCTCTTCACCTCGTGATCCACCCGCCTTGGCCTCCCAAAGTGCTGGGATTACAGGCTTGAGCCACCGCGCCCGGCCTTCTTTTTTTTTTTTTTTTGAGACAGAGTTCCACTCTTGTTACCGGGGCTGGAGTGCAATGGCGCGATCTCAGCTCACCGCAACCTCCGCCTCCTGGGTTCAGGCAATTCTCCTGCCTCAGCCTCCTGAGTAGCTGGGATTACAGGCACGTGCCACCATGCCCAACTAATTTTTGTATTTTTATTTTTATTTTTGTTATTGTTGTTGTTTTGAGACGGAGTTTTGCTCTTGTTACCCAGGCTGGAGTGCAATGGCGCGATCTCGGTTCACCGCAACCTCCGTCTCCTGGGTTCAGGCAAGTCTCCTGCCTCAGCCTCCCGAGTAGCTGGGACTACAGGCGTGAGCCACCGCGCCCGGCAATTTTTGTATTTTTAGTAGAGACGGGGTTTCACCTTGTTGACCAGGATGGTCTCGATCTCTTGACCTCGTGATCCACCCGTCTCGGCCTCCCAAACTGCTGGGATTACAGGCGTGAGCCACCGCGCCGGGCCTTCAACCTAAAATTTTCTGTAAAGAAAGAGGTTGGGCCTGGCGCAGTGCCTCATGCCTGTAATCCCAGCACTCTGGGAAGTTGGGGCGAGTGGATCACCTGGGGTCAGGAGTTCCAGACCAGCCTGCCCAACGCGGCGAAACCACGTGTCTACCAAAATTAGAAAAATTAGCCGAGCGTGGTGGCGAGCACCTGTAATCTCAGCCACTTGGGAGGCAGGAGAATTGCTTGAACCTGGGAGGCGGAGATTGCAGTGAGACGAGATGGCGCCACTGCACTCCAGCCGGCGTCTCAAGAAGGAATGATAGATGGACGGAAGGGACGGACGGAAGGAAGGAAGGGAGAGAAAGGAAAGAAAGAAAGAAAAAAAGAAAAGAGAAGGAAAGAGAAAATAAGAAAGAGAAGAAAGGTCGGTAAAAAAAGCAAGCCAGGCGAGACAGGTTTCCAAACACAGGAGACCTCGGGCGGGGACGCGTCAGCCCTCTCGGTGACGCAGTGACCATGTGGGGGCGCCCGCGGACGGACCCCGCACCGAGGCTGCGCCCGCTCCCCGGGCCCCGCTCACCGCAGCAAGTCCGGGCAGAAGAGATGGCGGTATGCGGGGAGGCAGTCGTCCCCCTCCACGTCGGGCGGCGGCTGGGCCATGGCGCTCGTGGCAGGGACTGCAGGGGCAACAGGCAGGGGCAGCCTCGGCCCCGGGGATCCTGGCGCAGAGGACAGAGCGCCTGGAACCGGGAGTCCCGCCCCTTCCCGGACGCTCCGCCCCTCACTCTCCCCGAGGCCACGCCCTCTCGCCCGAGGCCTGCTGGGATTGGCAGTCGGGGCGCGGGGCGCAGGCGCGGAGCGGGGCCGTTCGCGCTGCGGGAACCCGGCGCTCTCGGTTTGCCGCGCCTGGAGTCTTTTCCACGAGGTTCGGCGTCGGCGCCGCGGTCCGAGCCTGCAGGACTCGTGGGACACCCCTGGGTCCAGGCTGGGCTCGCAGCCTCCGGGACCCCCTCGCCTCCCCGTAAACACCATGGGAAGCGCGGGTGCGGGAGGGAAGTGTCCTGGACGCCCAGGAAAGCGCGGCCGCTCCGCGCCGGTTCCCAAAACGACCCGTTTCGGGGCCAAGAAGGAAGAGGCCCCGCACTTTGGGAGGCTGGGGCGGGCGGATCACGAGGTCGAGAGTTCGAGACCATCCTGGTCGACATGGTGAAACCCCGTCTCTACTAAAAATACAAAAAATTAGCTGGGCATGGTGGCTCGTGCCTGTAATCCCAGCTACTCAGGAGGCTGAGGCAGGAGAATTGCCTGAACCCAGGAGGCGGAGGTTGCGGTGAGCCGAGATCGCGCCATTGCACCCCAGCCTGGGTAACAAGAGTGAAACTCCGTCTCAAAAAAAAAAAAAAAAAAAGGCCGGGCGCGGTGGCTCAAGCCTGTAATCCCAGCACTTTGGGAGGCCGAGGCGGGTGGATCACGAGGTCAAGAGATCGAGACCATCCTGGTCAACATGGTGAAACCCCGTCTCTACTAAAAATACAAAAAAAATAGCTGGGCATGGTGGCAAGTGCCTGTAATCCCAGCTACTCGGGAGGCTGAGGCAGGAGAATTGCCTGAGCCCAGGAGGCGGAGGTTGCGGTGAGACCGAGATCGCGCCATTGCACTCCAGCCTGGGTAACAAGAGCGAAACTCCGTCTCAAAAAAAAAAAAAAAAAAAAAAAAAAAAAAAAAAGAGGTCGAGACCACCGTGGCCAACATGGCGAAACCCCGTCTCTACTAGAAATACAAAAATCAGCCAGCGTGGTGGCGCCGCCTGAGCTCCCGGCTACTCGGTTGAACCCGGCAGGCGGGGGCCGTGAGCCGAGATCGGGCCCCTGTGCTCCAGCCTGGGTGACAGGGACTCTGACTCGAAGAAAAAAGGTTCCGGTACTTCCGTTCCTTGTGGGGGCCCGGGCGGGCGGATACCGCGAACCCAGGATGGGGCGCTGCGACGGCCGCCCCCCGCTGCAGTGAAGGCGGCCAGGCTTTGTGCACTGGGTGGTCAGCCCGCTGGCCCCTTCCCAGGGAAGGTAGCCCTGGCTTGCGCCCAGCTTGGGTCCCCCACCCAGATTCTAGGTTGGTGGTCTCTGGACCCCTTCCTGGCTCATACATCCAACAAAATTACAGAACTAGGCGTGTAAAACTTCATTTTTACTCTTAAACTGCATACAACTTGCATAAAAGCATCATTTCGACCTCAGAGTTGGTGGAAACCATACTTAGTGCACCTCCCCATTTGCCGGGCACAGTGACTTTTAATGCCTCCCCTTTGGAGAAGGAGAAGTCACCCTAACTTGTGAAGACCCCCTCAAAAAAGGTTGCCTGGCACTTTGGTGCAAAAAGGATTGGTCCAATCTTGTGCTGGCTTGGGGTACAGAAAGGCACTGAAGTTGGTGGCTCAAACTCCTCTGGGCTGGGGTGGGGCAGGCGGGTAGGGATGTGGGCTTGGGTTCTTGCTGAGCGAGGTAGTGGGTCCTGCGTAGAGGATGGGGTGGTAAAGGCAGCCTGAGCCTCAGGCAGGGTGGGTGCTGCTGTGCGGGGCTGCGTCTGCCCAGCTCACCAGCTCACTGCTCTGGAACCACAGCTGGATCTCTCGCTGGGCCCCCTCCACGCTGTCGCTGGCGTGGATGACGTTCCTGTGCCATGACAGGAGCAAAGTAAGGCTCAGGCTTCATGTGCACCGTGGGAAGCCCCAGGGGCCATCCGCCGCTCCCCTGTTCCCCTCTGTCTAGGGGAGCAAGCCTGTGACTGCAGACGGAAGGAGGAGCAGTGGAGCTGGGAAACAGTGCCAGCCTGGCCTCAGCCTCTCACCACCTCATGGACCCACCCAGACCCCAGTTTTGGGGAGGCTAATTCCCCCCCCCAAGTTGCCCCATGCCAGCCCCTTGGGGTGTCAGGTAACAGGCAGTGATGGCACTGTACACACAACACAAAGGGAATGCCTCGTTGACCTGAGTGCAGGACAGGCCTGGGAGAACATGGCTCTCACCAGCTGAGCTGTCAAGTCCCACCTGGCCCCATCCCAGCAAAGCAAGATACCCCAGTCCCATGGATTGTGCTAGGAACAGGCTGCCACCCCAAGTGCTTGCCCGCCTCACCCCCAGCAGCAGTCTGGTGTGTCAGGGCCCCCGTACCTGCTGATGTGGACGCTGAAGTCACCCCTTATGGTTCCTGGGGCAGCCTCAGCCGAGTCAGTGTGTCCAATCATAGCCCTCGAGGCGCGGACGACATTGTACCCTTCCCAAACCTGCAGCAAGAGATAACAGTTGCGCAGAAGTGGGGGACACCAAGGGCCCCTGGGCTCAATCCAGGGCCCTTCCCTTTGCTGGGGGGGAAGACATACCCACATGCCCCTCCACTGCTCCTGCCCCACCATACCATGGCCACCATGGGCCCAGAGCTCATGTAGCGGATGAGGGCAGGGTAGAAGGGCTTCCTCTGCAGGTCCTGGTAGTGCTCAGCAAGGACGCTCTCTGGTGCCTGGGTGGCAATGAGGGGAGGAGGAGGAGCCCCCAAGAGTAACCCTGGGCACTAGCGCAGCAGCTGTGGTGCCCTGACCTCAGGCACCTGCAGATAACAGCAGCATGGGTGGTGTCCCTGCCACAGCACAGATCCCTCCTGCCCCTTCAGCTGCTAGAGCTAGTCCCCGCCCTGGCGCTGGCTGGGATGTGAAAGGCTGAGGACCCCCCAACCACGTCCCCACAGGGACACCCACAAGCCCAGAGCCGCGCTACCTGCAGCATCTTCATCCCCACCAGCGTGAAGCCTCGCCGCTCAAAGCGCTGGATGACATCCCCCACGAGCCGCCGCTGCACTCCATCTGGTTTCACCGCCACCAGGGTCCGCTCCCGGGTCCAGGAGGGCCCTCCTTTAAAAGGCGAGGGGTCAGGGGCACTGACCCAGGTTTCCCTGCCAGAGCCCAGAGGTCACCAGGCTTCAGGGTGTCTGACTCTATGCAGGGTGCTCTGGAAGGGACAAGGATGGCGCCCACACCCAGAAATGTCCCCGTGATAATCCCAGTCAGGGATACCCAAAGCAATGTGTCCACTGGGCTTCTAGCTTCTCCCGGGGGCCATGGCTCCTCCCAGCAGAGGCAGAAGCTGCCTGAGATGGCGTGATCACCCCAAGGTCCACCAAGGCACAAACCAGCTCAGGGACCACCAGGAGTTCCACGGAGGCACAGCCCAGCTCAGGGGCCGCCAGGAAATCTGGAGATGCTGCAAAACTTCCAGCTTCACTTTTGACTCCAGCCCTTCTGAGTGAGGACAGATCCAGTCTGAATCCCAGACTTTCCATACTAGGAGGAACCCAGAGCCTACCCTCTGTGTCTGAGATGAAGGAGAGGCAAGGAACCAGGGAGAAATACACTTTCTCCACCAGGTGAGCCCTGGAAACATGGACAAAAGGGGCCTGAGGATTGAAGAGGGAAGGCAGGAGGGTTCCTGTCCCAGCCAGGAGACCAGCCCTCTGCTGCTGTGGAGTTTCAAGGCCTGCGGCTTCCAGACCCAGAGTCAGCACTCTGCCCCAGCCTTCCTCTTCTGGAGGGGACTCTGCCAGGAAGACAGGAGACGTCCTCACCCTCCTACAGTCCCAGGCGCTCCAGAGCCAAGCTGACCCTCGGCACTGGCTCCCTGGATGTCCTACAAAGGCTGGACAGAGACTAAGGGGCCCCGCCAGGCCAGGAGGGGGCTGAAGCCCATGGGAGGAAGGCCCGATGGTTCGTGTGTTCCCCCAAAACCCAGTTCGCAGGGTGCCTTGTCTAGCCTGGGGCTCTGCTGCGGCTGGCGCGGGCGGTGGAGGCGAGGGCTCACTTTTCAGAGCCACGGAGGGAGGGCTGAGACCTCGGTCCCGCTGTGAGGTGGCAGCTGGGGGGCCGGGGCCAGGACAGCCTGGCCTCCCAGTTAGACTCTGGCCTAACCTGGCCTTCGGCGCAGGCCCTAGCAGAGCGGCTCCCTGGGAGGTGTTCCCCGGCTGGGGAGGGATCCCCCACCCTCACCCCGACTCTCAGCCGCCCAGTGCGGCCGCCGGCCTCTCCCTTCCTTTCACTCCCAGGCCCTCGGTCGCCCAGGATGCCAACTCGCAGGATGCAGCCTGGGGCAGGAGAAGGGGCGCAGGCCGGGCGGGTGCGGGCCGCCGCCTTCCCCAGCTCGAGCGGACCCCGCGGCCCGCGCCCGAGGCCTCCGGGGAGTGGGGCCCCCGCCCCGCACGTGCGCGGACAAAAGCCGAGCGGAGCGCGCCCTCCGCCCCCGTGTCCTCGCCGGGGCGCGCGGCCTCACTCACCCGAACTGGGGCGCACGAGCAGACTCCGGCCCGGGTCCCGCGGGCCGCCGCGAAGCCCGCGCAGCGCCAAGCGCCAGAAGAGGCCGCCCATGACGCCCGGCCCGGGGGCCGCTGTGAGCGCCGGTAGCGCGCGGAGGGCGGTGCCAGCCCCAGCCCCGCCCCGGAGCCCCCACCCTCCCGGGACCCCGCGTGGCCCGGCGCTCAGGGGGCGCGTGGAAATGTCCAACGTCGCTTTCCGTCAGAATCGGAAGAAAAAAAACACAAAATAAGAAGGAATCTCTCGTGAGTTGTATTAACTATCGTTTTTTCTGTTTGTTTTTGTTTTTTTTGAGACGGAGTGTCTGCCCCTGAATGGAAGTTACCCCTTAATACACAGGATAGAAATGGTTACGTCTGTCAAAAGATGGCACAATTGCGGGGTGCGGTGGCTCATGCCTGTATCCCAGCACTTTGGGAGGCCAAGGTGGGCAGATCACCTGAGGTCAGGACTTGGAGATGAGCCTGGCCAACATGGCGAAACACCTTCTCTGCTAAAAATACAAAAATGTGCCAGGCGTGGGGCCTGGCACCTGTAATCCCAGCTACTCAGGTTGCTGAGGCAGGAGAATCGTTCGAACCCAGGAGGCGGAGGCTGCAGTGAGCGGAGATTTCACCACTGCACTCTAGCCTGGGTGACAGAGCAAGACCATGCCTCAAAAACAGGCTGGGCACAGTGGCTCACACCTGGAATCCCAGCACTTTGGGAGGTCAAGGCAGGTGGATCAAAATGTCAGGAGTTCAAGACGAGCCTGGTCATGATGGTGAAAGCCCGTCTCTACTAAAAATACAAAAAGTAGCTGGGAGTGGTGGCTGGCGCCTGTAATCCCAGCTACTCAGGAGGCTGAGGCAGAGAACCATTTATACCTGTGATGTGGAGGTTGCAGTGAGCCAAGATCACACCAGTGCACTCCAGCCTGGACCCCAGAGGAAGACTCTGCCTTAAAATAAATAAATAAATAAATAGGAGGAGGAGTCGGCGAAAAAAAAGAAAAATAAAGCAGGCCGGGTGCTCTGGTTCACGCCTGTACTCCCAGCACTTTGGGAAGCTAAGGTGGACAGATCACAAGGTCAGGAGTTCGAGAGTAGCCTGGCCAACGTGGTGAAATCCCCATCACTACTAAAAATAAAAATTAGCCAGTTGTGGTGGCACAGGTCTGGTGTCCCAGCTACTCAGGAGGCTGAGGAAGGAGAATCGCTTGAACTTTGGGAATCTGGGGTTGCAGTGAACCAAGACCACACCACTGCGCTCCAGCCTGGGTGACAGAGTAAGACTCTCTCTCAAAAAAAAAAAAAAAGAAAAAGAAAAAAAGAAAAACAATAAAAAACGTACTCTGCCAAGGTGGGGTGTAATGTTCTATAAACATAATTGTTTCTAGTGGGAAGTTATCCCATTCACTTGTTCCCCGGACTGGTAATGTGTCATCTTTCCCTGTCTGCTTTTAATATTTTCTCTTTAATTTTGTTTTCTTTCTTACTCTTTTTTTTTAAGTTCATTTTCCAGCAGTTTGACTATAATATAATTGGTGATGGTTTTCTTTGCATTGATTCTTGTTAAGGTTCACTAAGCTGCTTGAATCTGTAAATTAATGCCTTTCCCCAATTTTATAATTTTGAGGTATTTAGACCCAGCTCTATGGCTCTCGCCTGTAATCCCAGCACTTTGGGAGGCCGAGGCGGGCAGATCACTTGAGGTCTGGGGTTTGAGACCAGCCTGGTCATCATGGTGAAAACCCATCTCTAAGAAAATTTAAAAGGAAAAGAAAAAATAGCTGCGCATGGTGGCATTCACCTGTAGTCCCAGCTACTTAGGAGGCTGAGGCAGGAGAATCGCTTGAATGCAGGAGGCAGAGGTTGCAATGAGGGAAGATCGTGCCACTGCACTCCAGCCTGGCAACAGAGCCAGACTCTATCTCAAAAAAATAAAAATAAAAATAAAATAACTCTCTTGGCTGGGCGCTATGGGATGGCTCACGCCTATGCCCCCAGAAGTGTGGGAGGCAGAAGTGGGAGGATCACTTTGAGCCCAGGACTTTGAGACCAGCCTGAGCAACATAGTAAGACCAGTCTCTACAAAAAAAAAAAAAAAAAAAAAAAAAAAATTAGCCAGGTGTGTTGTTCTGCGCCTGTATTTCCAGCTACCTGGGCGGCTGAGACTGGAATATTGCTTCAGTCCAGGAGGTCCAGGATGGAGCGAGCTGTGATCACACCACTGCACTAAGCCTAGACAACAGAAGGAGACCTTGTCTCAAAACAAAACAAAGCGAAAAAGAACTCTCATAACAGTAAGAAAAGTCCGGCCAGGCACGGTGTCTCAAGCCTGTAATCCCAGCACTTTGGGTGGCCGAGGCGGGTGGATCACAAGGTCAAGAGATCGAGACCATCCCGGTCAACATGGTGAAACCCCGTCTCTACTAAAAAAAAATACAAAAAATTAGCTGGGCATGGCGGTGCGTGCCTGTAATCCCAGCTACTGGGGAGGCTGAGGCAGGAGAATTGCCTGAACCCAGGAGGCGGAGGTTGCGGTGAGCCGAGATCGCGCCATTGCACTCCAGCCTGGGTAACAAGAGCGAAACTCCGTCTCAAAAAAAAAAAAAAAAAAAAAGTCCACCCAGTTCACAGCCTTGTGTAAGCTGTAACCCCGTGAGTGTGGACTGCAGCTGGTGACTCACTTCTGACACAGCAAAGGAGACTGGGCTGTCACTTTATTTTTATGTCTTTGAGGCGGAGTCCTGCTCTGTCACCCATGCTGGAGTGCAGTGGTGTGATCTCACTCACTGCAACCTCCGCCTCCTGGGTTCAAGCGATTCACCACGCTCACCTAATTTCTGTATTTTTGGTACAGACAGGGTTTGGCCATGTTGGCCAAGCTGGTCTTGAACTCCTGACCTCAGGCCATCCGCCAGCCTCGGCCTCCCAAAGTGCTGGGATTACAGGCGTGAGCCACTCCACCTAGCTGGGGGGGTCACTTTTATGATCTGGTCACCAAAGACTGCAGCTGCTGCGACCTCTCTTCCTCCTGGGAGAAGCAGCTGGTCTGACGTGAGCAGCCTGTGGAGAGACCCCCATGACATGGAACTGATGTTTCTGGCCAAAAGCAGCATAGGTGGGCTCAGAAGTGGATCTGCAGGAGGATTGCTGGAGCCCAGGAGGTTGAGGGTGCAGTGAGCCGTGATTGTGCCTCTGCACTCCAGGCTTAACTACAGAGTGAGACCCCATCTCTTAAAAAAAGGGGGAGGGGGCCTTGGGCAGTGGCTCACACCTATAATCACAGCACATAGGGAGGCCAAGGTGGGCTAATCAGAAGTTTGAGACCAGCTTACTCAATGTGACAAAATCTCCTTTCTTTTTTTTTTTTTCTTTAAATACAGGGTTTCACCATGTTGGTCAGGCTGGTCTTGAACTCCCGACCTCAGGTGATCCACCTCCCTTTAGCCTCTAAAGAGCTTGGATTACAGGCATGAGCCACCATGCCTGGCTGAAATCCCTTTCCTACCAAAATTACAAAAATTATCCCGGTGTGGTATGGTGCATCTTTTAGTCCCAGATGCTCGGGAGACAGGGGCGCTAGAATAGTTTGAAGCTGGGAAGCAGAGGGAGCAGTGAGCTGAGACTGTGTAACTGCACTCCAGGCTGGGCAACAGAGCAAGACCCTCTCTGAAAAAATAACCAAAAGTCAAGTACATCCTCCCCCAGTAAAGCCTTAGGATCACCTCAGCATGGCTGTCACCTTGACCCTAGACTGTGAGAGCCTCTGTGTCAGAGGCACCCTACTAGGCCCCATCCGGCTTCCTGTCCACAGAATCTGTGAGATGGTGAACCTGTGCTGCTTACATTACACAGCTGTGGGCTATTTGTTATGCAGCATAGATGACTAATACAAAGACCAGCTGGGGAAGTGCAGAGTGGCCTCACCTGGAGCCAGAGCTGGGCTCCGCAGTTCCATGGAGCCATACTGCCCCTCAGAGGCCAGCGCTGGAAGTGCATCTGGGTCTCACCTCCAGACTGAGCAAAGGCTCCCTCCATCCAAAGCGTGGGCTGTCTCTCTGGTTTCACTCTTGGGGTACTGCCAATCTGAGGGCTCCAGAGCCTGACTGAGGATGACATGGAATGAAGAATCAGGGCTGAGCAGAGCCATGGATTTCTGGAACATTCCTATGGATGTGCAAGATGGTCCTGGTAGAAGGTGCTCAAAAAGACACCTGCAAGCTGGGCACGGTGGCTCAAGCCTGTAATCCCAGCACTTTGGGAGGCCGAGGCGGGTGGATCACGAGGTCGAGAGATGGATACCAACCTGGTCAACATGGTGAAACCCCGTCTCTACTGAAAATACAAAAAATTAGCTGGGCATGGTGGCGCGTGCCTGTAATCCCAGCTACTCAGGAGGCTGAGGCAGGAGAATTGCCTGAACCCAGGAGGCGGAAGTTGCGGTGAGCCGAGATCGTGCCATTGCACTCCAGCCTGGGTAACAAGAGCGAAACTCCGTCTCAAAAAAAAAAAAAAGACACCTACAGAGTGGGACAGGTGGTGCATGAGGATCCGTCCTGCCCTGCTGCTGTTACACACATGCAGGGAGGGCACTGCCCCCTGCAGAGGTCTCCCACCTGTTTTTTATTTTATGTCTTTTTTTTTTTGAGACGGAGTTTCGCTCTTGTTACTCAGGCTGGAGTGCAATGGCACGATCTCGGCTCACCGCAACCTCCGCCTCCTGGGTTCAGGCAATTCTCCTGCCTCAGCCTCCTGAGTAGCTGGGATTACAGGCACACGCCACCATGCCCAGCTAATTTTTTGTATTTTCAGTAGAGACGGGGTTTCACCATGTTGACCAGGTTGGTATCCATCTCTCGACCTCGTGATCCACCCGCCTCGGCCTCCCAAAGTGCTGGGATTACAGGCTTGAGCCACCGCGCCCGGCCTTTTTTTTTTTTTTTTTTTTTTTTTGAGACAGTTTCCCTCTTGTTGCCCAGGCTGGAGTGCAGTGGCACAATCTCGGCTCACTGCAACCTGCGCATCCCGGGTACAAGTGATGCTCCTGCCTCAGCCTCCCGAGTAGCTGAGACTACAAGTGCACACCACCACGCCTGGCTAATTTTTGTATTTTTAGAAG